TGACCAGTAGAGCGGCTGGAGCGTTAAGAAAGCACCTGAGACCAAGGCTGAGGAGGAGTTGGAGGTGGGGGACAAGGATGAGAATTAGTCTGAGAAAAAGAGCTCTCTGTTGCCACCTCTCTTCCCAGACACGCAGGAGCGTCTCCACTTTTCCTTTGCTTCCCTTGCGCCCTGGATTCCTCACTAATGCTCGTGAGCTGCAGGGCCGGAGTCTGTCTTCGAAAGGACGGTCGACAGAGGGTTGTGCGGCCACGGGTCGTGTTCCTCGGGTCGGGGAGCCCGGAAGATGCCCACAGCCCGTGTGATCGCCGTGTTTCCCTCCCTCTGCCTCTGTAACCCCAGGCTGGTGGAGAACACACTTCACCTTTGCACGCACCCATTTTGACACCTGTCCGATGGACCTGGGGACGTGCTCCTGATTGACAGCGGGGAGGGCATTGCAAGCGCCCTGGGGAAAAACAAGCTGCGAGGGATGAGTGGTTATTGGGATAATATGGCTTTCCCACTTCTGTGAGTGTTACTAATCAAAAGCAGGATTTGGCCTTTCCAGAGAGTAATTTTGCAATTTGGCAGCCTTGGGAGAATTCCGCGGAGTCCATTGATACATTCTCTTGTAAAATCCCTCAGCCAATTTTTTTTTTTCCCTCCTGTGGTGGGGACGAGTTGTTTTCTTTAATTAAAAAAAAAAAATAACCGTCCCCATTAAGAATATAAAACTAAAAGAGATTTCCCCTTTCCTGTTGGAGCTCTGGCAGCTTGGTTCTGGAACTAAGCAGACCTAAATGGAATTGCCAGCGAGATTTGACAACTTTTATAATGTTTTATTATTATTATAATTTTCCTCCTCCTCCTCCTCCTCCTCCTCCTCCTTCTTTGTCTTCTTCTTCTTCTTTTTTTTTTTTTTTCCATTACGTAGCTGGAGCCGCAAAGAGAGGACTGTAAAGTGAACTTCATTCCTTTCAGACTTCGGGCCCTGGGGGGAGATTTGGAGTAGTGTGGCTGCTCAGGATGGTTCCAGCTTTGGTTCAGAGGTGGCACATGCCACGGGAAAGCTCGGCTGGGGGACCCCTGGGTGTCGTGAGGGCCCTGTAGCCTCATGGAAGCTTGGCAGACACTCTATGTGCCCTACTTGGCTACTCTGATGTGCTTTCACATGACAAACAGAGTCAGGGGCCTGGCTGGAGATGGTTGCCCCCCGAGGGGTGGGAGAAGTGGGAGAGGAATCGTGGGCCCTGAGCCCCCTGCTCCTCTACGGGTTTATTTGCATCCTAGAAATGGAAAAAAATCATTAGGAGCCTGCCTAGGAGTAGCGGTTAGAATCCTGATTGTGTCTCTTTCTAGCTCTGGGACCATGGGTGAGCTGCTTGACCTCCCAAGGCCTTGGTGGCCTCATCCCGGAATGTGGGGACAAAACCTACTTCATAGGGTCTCAGAAAAGATGGAAAGGGCCAATGAAGCAGCCCTCATGCCATGTTAGATGTCGTGTTCTTGGTACCTGACTTGATTTCAGGAGGACTTTAAAGGCATAAAAGAAAAGTAGATTTATGGCAAAAGTCACAACAAAGTTGGGGATTTGCTGATACGTTATTTCTTCTAGGGAGAAGTTCTTAGCTGGTTTGGTGCCATGGGCCTCTCTGGTGGTCCGGTGGACCTTGTGGGTCACCCGTCTCAGAATAATATGATGAAAGGCAACCTATTAAATGCATAGATGGCCAAAAGCAAACCAGTGATCCTGAAACGTGGTCGTCAAAATGTTCTTCGACAGCGATGTGGAGTTACGCGTGCTTCCTACATGCCTTAAATAACGGGATCTAGTAGCAGGTCCTAAAAGACTGTAATTTTGAAGCTGTGATAAGCACAAATGGTATCTTGAGGCATGTACAGCAGCTGGGTGGAAATGAAATTACTTCGTTTCTGTTGATGACAGTCGTTACCACTGCTAATACAGCCGTGGCTTGTTGCCTACATTTGTAACAGAAAGGAATGCTCAATTTCAGTTCAAGATTAGTGAAAATAAAGACGTCATTTTAAAAATCCAAATTTAGACCCTTCAGTTTTCCCCTGAGTAAAGGCCTCCCAAGTCAAGGAGACAGGCTTATGGGACTGCTTTGCCCTGAGAAATTCTGTGGGCTGAAAGCATGAGTCATTTCTGTGAAGGCGTGACAGAAGTTTCTACCAAGTGCCAGGTACTTTCTAGGGCATCTGGTGGGATCTTTTCAACAGTCTCGTCAGGCTCAGAGAGGCTGAGTGCCTCATCCAAGGCCACACAGCGTTAGATGGCGGATATTTTAGAGAACCCATGTCTTCCCAAATCCAGCACCTTCCTTCTTTCCACTACATCCAGATTCTTAACTATGTGAATAGAAATCAGGGTCCACTGGGTTCTTCAGGGATAGGAAGGTATTGGTGGTGGTGGGGCTCTCGGGTAGAAGGCTGTGGTTTCTCCACATCATCTCAGCATTTTCCTCATTTCACAGATGGAGAAACAAAGGCTTAGCGAGGCGACCTGCTTTATCTGAGCTCACTGGGTTAGTGAGAACGTTGGGCTGGGTGGCTACAGCTTCAGGCGTAGGGGGGTGGGTAGAGGACTCATTTCTGGGGCGTTTTATGAAGACTGGGCATTTCCTGGAAGTAGCAGGTTCTCTGCATTTCCAGGTGACTTGGGATCAGATTCAAGTCCTGTTCTCCCCCACCCACCTGCAAGTAGTCTTCTTGGGAGAAGCATGAGGAGGGCTTTGAATATCTTCCTCTTTTTTTTTTTTAAGATTTTATCTATTTATTTATTTGAGAGAGAGAATGAGAGAGAGAGCATGAGAGGGGAGAAGATCAGAGGGAGAAGCAGACTCCCCATGGAGCTGGGAGCCCAGTGCGGGACTCAATCCTGGGACTCCCGGATCATGTCCTGCGCTGAAGGCAGTAGCTTAACCAACTGAGCCACCCAGGCATCCAGTATTTTCGTCTTCATCTCTGTTTTGCTTTTCATCCAAACAAGGCTCCACTTTGCACAAAATCGTAAGTGCCCTTAAAGTTTTCCCATATCCCCAGTTCCTGAGGGGAGCCCTGGTTATTTTCATAAGTTAGACACTGTTCCCTGTCCTCCTGCCTTGGTTCGTCTTGCATGGCTTTCTGCATCCCTGTACGGACAGTCTTCAGATTCTTTTTGAACCCTGTATAATATTCCATTCTCCATACTGTCAGAGTTGACTTAACCACTCATTCATGAAGGCGTTTAGGCTGTTTCTTGTTTTTTCCCTATTACAGACAGTGCTGCAGAGAGAAGCCTCATGCTTATGTCTTTGCACACAGACTTGGACAACCTTTTTTTTTTTTTTCAAGATTTTATGTTTTTTGAGATAGAGCAAGAGTGAGAGAGAGAAAACGAGAGCGCGAGAGTTGGGAAGGAGCAGAGGGAGAGGGAGAAGCAGGCTCCTCACTGAGCAGGAGCCCGATGTGGGGCTTGATCCCAGGACCCTGGGACCATGACCCGAGCTGAAGGCAGACAATTAACCAACTGAGCCACCCAGGCGCCCCTGACTTGGACAACTTCTTAGGAAAATGTATAGTAATTGGACTGCTGCATCTGTGTATTGTGTGTTTTTAAGAAAAGGGCTGCTATCCTGTTGCCTTCCAGAAAAGAGTTGGGTCACCCCTCCGACCGCCTGCACGTGTAACTGTGACTCTCCTGCCCGCAATTTCCACATTGGCAGCCCCCTCCCCTGCCTGGATGAGCGCATGTTCTAGGCCAGACCATTCTCCTCTTAGGTGTGTGTGTGTGAAAGCTTCTCTCAGTTCTCCCTTTGGTCTTGGAGCCACCCCTCCTCCCAGGTCCTCTGCAGACTCCCACTCTGACCCTCCCACCCACCTGGCTTCCAGTGGGGGTCCTGGGGCTGCTGAGCACCCTTCCCTCCTTCCCAGGGAAGGTTTCTGTTGCAGACCCCTAGCCCTCATGAGGAAGAGAGGGGGAATACTGGTCTGAAAGCTGAATGCAAGGACATGTGGGTGGTGTCTCCTAAGAAGGTGAGGAACCACATTTTCAGCCCTTGGGAGGATGTTATTCTTAGGATGTGACTGGGTTTTATTCTGCTTGGTTCACCTACTCAGACCACTGAGGCTCTGAAGGGCACACAGTCTGTAAGTGGTGGAGATGGGACGTAATCTGGATCTGCCTAATCTTAGATCCCATGCTCTGTGCTCTGTTTCCTTTGTCCTTGCCCTTCCTTCTCCCTTCCTTCTCCCTTCCTTCCTCTCTCGCCCTCTCTTTCTCTCTGCCCCTACTCTCTCAAAACAATGGTGTAATGAGGACACTTCCCATTTGTGGAGCACTTGCTGTGTTCAGTCTTTGACCCGTATTAATTCATTTCTTCTCTCAGCAACGCTTTGAACTGGGGATTTTTACTAGGCCTATTCCACAGATGGGAAAACCAAGGCATGGAGGAGAAGTTAAATATTAATGTCTGTGGTGACAAATACAGCCACTCAAAAGGAAATTCGAAGGCACAGGCAGCAAACTCCCCAGATTAGGGTAACGGGGGATCATACCTGAGTATCCTAGGTGGTCAGTGACTTCTTCACTAAGGTTGGATAAAGACCTCAGCCCTGTTTTAAAGATGGAAACCCAGAAGTTCAGTCTAAGTGACTACTCAGCTCTTCTAGCTTTTGAATTAGGGAATTCAAAGACATATACATTAGGTTGAAGTATTTCAAAATACCATGTGAAGAGGGGTTCCTGGGAGATGATCATTTGGTTCTTGGCATGCACATAGAACTGTTCATAAGCCTACTTGCCTAATGTATAAGGCATGAAAAATTAGTGCGTGAAGATGTGTGTCTGTCACATTTGGTGCATTTGGGTATAATTAGATCATGGTGCTCATCAAAGACTCCTTTGTTTCTTATTCTGTGATGCATTTCTGGTGGATTCCTTGACCCTTTGGTTCGCCAGTGGGGGGGATCTCTATCAAGGCACTGATCAATGTTATTTCCAATCTTCTCTCTTTCAGTAAAGAATATCCCGTGGTTCCCAGGAGCACAGTAAGACAAAAAGTAGCCTCCAACCACAGTCCTTTCAGCAGTGAGCCTCGAGCTCTCTCTGCCTCATCCAACTTGGGGTCGCAGTACCAGTGCGAGAATGGTGTGTCTGGCCCCTCCCAGGACCTCCTGCCCCCACCCAACCCATACCCACTGCCCCAGGAGCACGGTCAGATTTACCATTGCACCAAGAGGAAAGGTGAGTGTGACGACCCTTTTCTATGTTTCCTTCCTTTCCTTGGGGGAAAAAAGTACACTTATGTATTTGAAAAATGTAAGCAATATAAAAATACATGGAAATTGTAAGAAATTCAAACTGTTCAGTAAAAGTAAAGGATCTTCCTTTGACATGTCTCCTTCAGTTCTGGGACCCCTTCCTTGGGGAAAACTGTTCAGTCCTGTTTAATGAGTTCACACGTATGCACATGTGTGCGCGTGTGCAGAGACACATAAAAACAGTTGTTTCTACTTTTAACAATTGATATTGGACTGTTTTGCAACTTGGGTTCTGAAGCTCAAGAATACGTTGTAGATGATCTTTTCATGAACGTCCAGCTGCCTTGTGCTTTTTTTTAGCTGCTGAAGAGAAAGCAGAGTTTGTGTTCACTCCCACGAGTGGGCAAAGGTGGCTGATTCTCGAATTTCTGGGTGTATTATAAGCCAGGCTGCAGGAAGCCTTCTTATAGTTGGATGTGCTTCGGTTTATGTGCTAGGGTTTCTCTTAGGTGGGTGGATTCTGAGCTCTTCTCTCCTTTCCAGATCAAAATCAAAATCAAAGAAAAAAAAAAAAGGAAAAGAAAATCTCAGCTGATCTTCTCTCTCTTGCATTTTGTCTTTAAGTCTGGTTTAAATTCCGTCTGAGGCCCTTCATTGTCTTCTTTGCCAAATGAGATATGGGTGGCCTTTCCCAAGTCATCTGAGTCGAGGACTGTAACACCAAAGGAAATTTCTGGTGGCACATTTTTTGAGTCAGAGTCGAAGCAGGTGCAGTTGAGTTCAGCTTGATAGAACAGTCACTTGTGTGAACAGCAGACCGGCACGGGGAGGACAGCGTGGGCGACAGGGCCCAAGGACACAGGCTCAGGTCTCAACTCTGCCACCAGTTTCTTGGGTGACTTCAGCCAGTCGTCCTGGCCTCTCTGTGCCTCAGTTTCCCGCCTTGTCAACAGTGCTTGAGTTCCCGAGAGCACCTGATACCCAGTAAGCGCCCAGCGTTTGTCAGGTCTGATTGTGGGAGGGGCAGGTACGGCTCCAGGAAGAACATCCACAGAGGAAGAGATAGCTGTTTCTGAGTGAAGTTTTGAGAAAGCAGATAAGGAGGGGGGGCAGAGACCGAGTACAATGGGGATGAATCCCACCTTTGCCATTTGCAGATTTTTATGATTAGGGGCAAATTCCTTAACTGCTCTAAGCCTTTTTTTTTTTTTTTCCTAGTCTGTAGATTTGGTCTCATGATTGGACCTGTGCTTTAGGCGTGGTGTGAAGATGTCATGAAAGTGTGCTTGCCGTAGTTAGCACAGGGTTGACCCAATAATCAGTTACTGGTTTGTTCCGGCAGGCCCAAATCTTAGTCTTTAAGAGTGGCCTGTCATACCTCCCAGCCTCTGTGGCCAGCTCAATGCCTTTAGAAGTCCTGTGCCCAGTGTCTGAAACAGTGTCCCACTTCTTCCTTCTCTCCCTCCTCTTCTCCTCCCCTCCCTCCCCTCCCTTCACCCCTCCTTTCCCTCCTAGCCCTCGTCTTCCCCTTCTTCTTCCTCCTCTTCCTCCTCTCCTCCTTCTCCCTCTTCTTCTTCATCTTTGTCTTTATTTTCTGAGTCAGCTCATAAGAACTGATGGACACGGATCCTGTGGCAGTCTTCTCTGAGCTGAGGTTACTTGAGGAAAGTAACACAGTCTGACTATTTGGCATTTACCGATCTCCCATTTGGAAGCAGGGAAGGGCTGTCCTTGGTTCAAGCCTGGGACTGGGGAGCTGACCCGGGTGAGGCTGAGTTTCCAGACCTAACCTGAACCCTGTCCAAGCTCCTTGAATCTTGAAGTTCTGTACAATATTATCACCCCCACAGGCCCCCTGGCCCAGCTCCCAGCATGTCTACTGCTGCCTGGGCTGGAGACGAGCGGCCTGCAAACATGCCCACCTCTTCAGGCAGGAGCCAGGGATTAAGGATGTCCCCTGGGGCACAGGTACCTGCACGAAGTTTCTGGTCTATGTCCTGTTGAAGGGAAGTCCTGCCCAGGTTGGTGCCCTAGCCTTTCGACTACACTACTCAGTAGAGTCACATGTACTGCTTAAGAGCTCACCAGGTTTGAATTAAGGAGTTCCATCAGTTAAATTCATGCCAGCCCAAAAGAAGGGAAGGAAGAAGTTGAAAAGCATCCAGGTGCTTTTTAAGACTCAGCATTTACAGCAGCATCTTTGCAAGGGTTTTCTCCTAGAGGGTGGTGTGAGGTGGCTTTAGGGGGTGAGCTCTTCGGATGGCAGGATCCCCAGGTGAGCACAGGGTCAGCTTGAGGCGGCCATTGGGGAAGCCAGACTCGGTGGCCGGTCTCCCACGGGACATCCCGGCAGCTGAGGCTTTCCAGAAATGTGGCCACGGGCAAGCTGCTCGCGTTCTCAGCCTCAGTTCTCTTTGCTGTAAAATGAGGATCTCAGTAGCACCTCCCCTGTAGGGTCATGATGAGATGGAATGAGGGGGTCCATGCAAAGCCCCCGGAACAGTGTCTGACCCAGAAGTGCCCAGCATGTGTTATCCGGCCACTGCTCTGCCCTTAGGAAGCTCACGGTTGCAGGCAGGTCAGATGTATAATTACATATTGTGATGCGACTGCTTGATTACAAGGGTGATCTGATGGTATGGAGGAGATAGGGAACCTGCCGATGCATATGGTGTGGGGGTGGGAGGCAGGAACGGGGGGTCAGGGAGGATTTAAGCCAGGATCTGCAGAGTGGGAGCTGAATGGAAAAAGAGGGGAGATGGCTGGGGATCCAGGCAGAGAGAAGGGTATGGGTGCAACCCCTGAGAAGATGGGGAGCCAGCCCCCCACGGGGGAGCAGACACAAGGCCAGTGTGGCTGGAACGCAATGAAGGGAAGGGGAGGCAGATGAGCTACAGAGAAAGGCAGGAGCCAGCACGCTGCTAGCCCTTGTAAACCATTTTAAGGACTTTAGATTAAAAAAAAAAAAAGGTTATTTATTAGAGAGAGAGAGAGAGAAAGTACACATGAGCTGGGGGAGGAGCAGAGGGAGAAGGACCAGCAGACACTGTGCTGAGCAGGGAGCTCGATGCGGGGCTCGATCCTAGGACCCCGAGATCATGACCTGAGCCAAAACCAAGCATCAGAGAGTCAAACGACTGAGCTACCCAGTGAGATTTTATCCTAACACCAACAGGCAGCCCTCGGAGGGGTTTCAACCCATGAGGGACATGATGAGGTTTCTGTTTTGAAGCAGGCATTTTGCTGTGCTGGGGGTGGGGTGTGCGTGGCGGGTAGGGGGGACAAGGATGGGCTCCAGAGCTCTGCGGAGAGGCTGTCGCAGGCTGCGAGGCGGGAAATGATGGCATTCAGCCCTGGATGCGGTGCCAGGAGCTGGAGGTGTGGGTACAGTCAGTCCCCGGGACCCGTTGCCCAGAACAAGGTGAAAGATGGCCGTTTTCCACAGGGGCAGAAACTGAGGCTCAGAGGGACTGAGTGATTTGTCCCGAGTGGTCCTGCCCCGGGTTCAAGCCACGGTCTGTGCATTTGGGGGTGCCTGGGGTGTGCACTGTGCAGGAACCCTTTCACCTCGCCACAAACCTCTGTCCTTCCCACCTCCCTCCACCCCCAAAAAGTCGCTCCCAGGGACAGGGAACGTTCCAGCCGAGCTCTGTCTGTCCCGAGTGCCTCAGAGACAACAAAAAGCAATTCATCATCAGCCTCCATTGTAAGGTGATAAAGAATCAGCAAGGTTTCCTTCCAGTTTGGGATTCCCGTGAAGTGATGGCTCCATGGGTGGCTTCCCTCCTCCCCCCGCCCCCTCTTGGGGCCCCTGCCTGCCCCACTATCTGACTTCCCCTCATTGTCTGTCTCCTTTCCAACGAGCCCAGGAGGCAGGCCCAGTGAAATGTCAAAGGGCCAGGCAAGCCGGAGAGCTTCTCGTGTTTGGACCCGGCTGTCTCCAAACTATCTCTCCCGATGGAGGGAACCCAAAGAGCTGGGAAGGTCTTTTATCAATGCCACTCAATCAGATCCAGGACCCCGGGCCCTGGGAGAGCACTCATCTGTCTTTCTTTCCTCCTCCCACCCTGATAACTGGCCCATACCCCCCAACCTTAGAAATCCAGAGGCAACCCAAATAAAGATTTGAACAAAGCCATCTACTGCCCTGGCTATTCAAAAGGAAGTCAGGGGAGTGGGAGAGGAAGGGGGTTCTGTGGGGTGCGTTTTGTCAGTGCTGGGTGCTTTTTAGAGCAATTTCATGTTGTTTTCTTCACTGGATCCTCATTCCAGCCCCTGAGCTGGGGCGGGGGTGTCTTCCATCTCCATTTTGTGGGCGTATAACGGGGGACCAAGAGGTTGCATCGGCTTCCCAAGGTCGTGTGGCTGGTGAGTGGCAGATCTGGGATGCCTTTGTGGAATAAATATTGGTTGAGCATTTCCTTTGTCCTGGACACTGTCCCAAGTACATGGGATAAAGGGACAGCAAGGGGGCGAAGGCTCTTGCTCTCCCAAAACTTGTTTCTTATTGAGGGGACAGATAATAAGGAAATAAAGAAATGTCATGATTTTCAGTTGGTGGTTCAGTGAGAGTTGGACCCGAGTCTTTTGAATCCAATTCAGGATCTTCTCACAATACTGATTCAGTCTGTCCCACTTTGAGCTAAAATCTAACACTACAGAGATACACACACCCTTCATCCATCCTTCTGTCCATCCATCCATCTAACCACCCATCCACCCATCAGGTCAAGGTTACCATCTTCTCCTCTTTTCTGGAAAGTGAGTTTCACGAAAGCCAAAAGGCTAGACTGTCCGTCAGAAAGAGCACTGTGCTGTGACCCACAAGGCCCGAATCATAGTTCCACTTCTGACTTTGCCAAAGGTCATCCAACCAAGGAATGGTAGTTCAATAGGATTTTTTTTTTCTTTATTTTTCTTTCTTAAGATTTTATTCACCTACCTGACAGAGATCACAAGTAGGCAGAGAGGCAGGCAGAGAGAGAGGAAGGGAAGCAGGCTCCCCGCTGAGCAGAGAGCCTGACGCGGGGCTCGCTCCCAGGACCCTGGGATCATGATCTGAGCCGAAGGCAGAGGCTTAACCCACTGAGCCACCCAGGTGCCCCTCAGTAGGATTTTTTATCCGAATGAACCTGGTCGGCAAGCGAAATGACCCATTTGGGAATAGTGACAATATTTGCTTAATGGGATGAGCAATATAAAAGCAGCCTTGTGAGTTTTCCTGCTCTGGGATCTCCCCAGGCACCTTCAAGCATTGGACAGTCCCCAGAGCCATCTGTCCGATCTTCTAAGAGGGAACAGAGAGGAGACCCATGTGACTCGGACAGATAAGATCTGCACACTTATCTCCATTCCTGCAAGAAATTAAAGCATTATCCCCCTACGTAGTCAAGAACTAAGATCGGGATGTGGTGCAGTGATCTGCCCAAGGCCACATGGCCAGGGAGAATCAGAGACAGGCCCTCAAATCTGTGCTCTGGATTGATCACTGAAGCCATTTATCCAGAATCAGAAACCACTAGAAAAATGCAAGGGGCCGGGATATTTCCCAGTGCTACGCGGTGCTCAGAATCAGGAAGAGCTTTCCTGGTATTCAGCAGACTCAGTTGGGTTCAGGACAGGTGGAATGTAATGGACCGCTCTTACTACGCACCTTTCCAAGACTAAACTGTGGGCCCGTCTCATGGAAGACTTGATGCTTGACTACCTGTTCCCCGACCGTGGAAGGTAAACACGACTCGGCTGGGAAAGAGGGCTTTGCTGTTGACCGGTTATCGGGCTCCCAGTAAAGAGAAAGGAACCAAAACCGTGACCAAAACAAACACAGGGATTCCATCCCAACCACTGATCACCACCGACCTGAAATTTGGATCCATGCTTTGGAATTTCTTTACAACGTGATGAGGTCCAAGAGGAATTTGAGAACACTCGGGACCCGCTTTCATGAATAAGCCAGCCTTTTGCTTTTCTTAGGACTCTGCATCAGATCTTTGGGTTATTAAAGACTGGAATGTGTAATTTTACGATTTTCCAAAATGTGCTCCGGCCTTTTTCATATTATTCTTCCTTTTTTCGCTTGTAACAAATCTGGAAGGGGATCAGAAACTCGGGAATGGTTCATTTGCCTTGTTTTTTTTCTCTTGCCAAGGGTACCCTGCAGCTGTACTCTTGATTATTGAAAAGGGGAAACGCCCTGGTTAAATGGAAAACCCAAAGGTTATGATTCTAGCAACAATGGAAACATTCAGATTTATGGATCCGGGGCGTGGGGGGGTGTTGTGTGTGGTGGGGGTGGATGGGTTGGAAGCAAGCACGGAAGCACGAGGTGACTGAGGGAGGAGGTGGGGAAGACAGAAAAAGTCGAGCGTAGCAACGTCTTCAGGACACCAAAGACAAATGCCCCGTTGAAAGGTGGAAAAAGTGGCCACCAGCTCATCTGGCTATCTTCACACATCTGGACAGTTGGCATGATGTGTTTAAAGCACCTGGAAGAGAGGCCGCATTTTTGGCTTTTATTCTGGACAAATGTTTGGGTGTCCTATGGGGCCCAGATGTGTCCCAGAAAGAGTCTTGCTGAAAATAAACACGCTTGCTGGGAGATGGGTACAGTCCCAGCCTAGATGGGTTTACATGGGGGCAGAGTTTTTACCCACCTGTGGGTGTCATTCCGGGCGTGATGCCCATGGAAGGATTCGGCGGAACCCAAACCCAAGCTCTCCTACTTGAGTTGGGGAGCTGTTTTAAAATCTGGTGCAAAACCAAAGGACTCACTGTGGGGCGAAGCTTTATATGCAAGGCCCACCTCCATTCACCACCTGTCAGCCTCCTGCCGCGTCACTGCTCAGGGTGGGATGGAGAGGGTCCCCCCTTCCCACCTCCAAGTGCACTGAGCCGGACCTCATTATTGGCCGCTCTGGGCCCAGTACCTGGCACTTGGGAGCGGTTCAGTACATCTCTGTTGGAGAACTAGGTGAGTGGCATTTGGTGTGAGAAATCGAGAGAGCTAGAAGCAAGGTGCCATTGGCAAGGAAGGCAGACTTGGCTTGGATTCCAGTTCACGTTCCTTTCTAGTTCCGTGACCTTGGGAAGGTCACGTCTCTGAGTTCAGTTTCTGCCTCTGTGACAGGCCATCTGGAGGAATTACTGTGAGATCAGGCGTTGGGGAAGGATCTGGGGACTCGCCCAAGCTCCCGTCCATCTGTGCACTTGTCCCTCTGTCCTTCTGTCTGTTGCACAGATACTCAGTCCGTGCCCTTGTGTGTAGCCTGGTCTCGAAGAGCAGAGACTCCTACCTAATTCGATGACTTGAATTCTGGCTCAGCAGGAGCTTAGTACAGAATAAGGATCATCTTCTCCCATTAGTTAGTCCCACATCTTGCCCCCAGGCCACTGACCATCACCCCAGAGGTGCAGGAGCGCCCCAGTGTTTCCTTTTTCTCACACACCACCCCCCAAAGACAGACCTGATTTCTTTGCATTTATTGATTCGAAAGAGACTGGAAGAGAAGAACAGAAAAATCTCCAGGTTGGGGGATAAAATTCCAGCAAAGGAATGAATCTGTGGGACATTTACACCTTGCTGGAAACTCTTAAGATGGCTTCCCCGAAGGAAACACCTGGAGGCGTGTTACTCTGTATCAGGTCTGCCAAGAGACTGACTGGTGGTGTTTCCCTTGCAGCAAGAGCTGCTTTTGTTGACAGATATCAGGAGATTTACGGGCTTGATTTATTGAATTCTTAGCGGCCAGGTGAGGTAAGTATTATTGACTTGGATTCAGACATGCCGAGCGCAGGTCTCAGGGCGGACGCCTGTTGGGCGGCGCACAGTTAGGAAGTAGGAGAACCAGAATGAAACCCAGATTCGTCTACACTTCTTAACTTAGGGTCTGGATTTGAGGGGATCCCTGAGCTCCCAAAAGTGCTGTGCTGGGCACATGGATGGTTTTTAAAACGTTGCGTTTCAGTGTGTTAGCCTGATCAGCTCTTGTGATCATTCCCGAAGGAGGCGGTGACTCCGACCAGTTAGGGAAGACCGTCTTTCAGAGATGGAATGATCTCCACGGCCACTGGGGACTCGCTGGAGTCTGGGGGAAGGGAAGTGACTTTTTGAATAAGGAAACGGTGACCCATTAAGTTGTACCAGCTCTAAGAGATAATTAACTGGGACTTGCCGACACAGGCATCGGGGAAGGATCTGGGGACTCGCCCGAGCTCCCGTCCATCTGTACACTTGTCCCTCTGTCCTTCCGTCTGTTGCACAGATACTCAGTGCATGCCCTTGTGTGTAGCCTGGTCTCGAAGAGCAGGGACTCCTGCCTAATTCAATGACTTGAATTCTGACACCCCCCACCCCATTCCATTGTTTAGCAGCTGCGTAACTCAGACCTTGGGCAAGTTGCTTGACCTCTCTGGTCTTCCGTTTTCTGATCTGCAAAGTGGGGACCCTCACAGAGCCCACCCCATGGGGTTGCTGGGCCGGCTGCCTGGGGTCCCTTCCGGAGAGTGCTTAGGACAGTACCAGGCAGAGTAAACGCCATTTGTGTGCCTTCGTACTGTAATCATGGACGGTATTGTTCTTACTTTGGTTCCTAGTTATGTTCTGGATTCTGGGGGATACGGTGGTGGGGAGCACAGACCATGTCCCCCTTTCGTTGAATGTGCACACCAGGGCAGAGGGAAGAGATCAGGCATCTTTACTTACTGGGTGTTGTCTGCTCCCAAGCCCTGGCCTCGATGCTCAGTCTGTGTTCTGGCATCCCTTGTCAGCATGTCCCTCTGTAGCCTCCTTTTCGTGCTAGAGATGAAACCGAGCTCAGGAAGGTCAAAGTCTTCGCTCAAAGTCTCCACCGTTACTGATCAGAATGGGGGCTAGTCCCCCCACCCCCACCTGGGGAAGGGGTCCTCGAGTCCTGTGGCCGCGTCCGCCTCTAGCCCCGGCCTCACTGGTCTCTTTCCTCCCGCCTCCGCAGATGAAGAATGTTCCACCACGGACCATCCCTACAAGAAGCCCTACATGGAGACGTCGCCCAGCGAGGAGGACCCCTTCTACCGGGCCGGCTACCCCCAGCAGCAGGGCCTGAGCGCCTCCTACAGGACAGAGTCAGCACAGCGGCAGGCCTGCATGTACGCCAGCGCCCCGCCCCCCAGCGAGCCGGTGCCCAGCCTGGAGGACCTCAGCTGCAACACATGGCCCAGCGTGCCTTCCTACAGCAGCTGCACGGTGGCCACGGTGCAGCCAATGGACAGACTCCCCTACCAGCACTTCTCGGCCCACTTCGCCTCGGGGCCCCTGGTCCCCCGGCTGGCTGGCATGGCCAACCACGGCTCCCCGCAGCTCGGAGAGGGGATGTTCCAGCACCAGACCTCCGTGGCCCACCAGCCTGTGGTCAGGCAGTGTGGGCCGCAGACTGGCCTGCCGTCGCCCGGCGGCCTGCAGCCCTCCGAGTTCCTCTATTCTCACGGCGTGCCAAGGACCCTGTCCCCGCACCAGTATCACTCGGTGCATGGGGTTGGCATGGTGCCAGAGTGGAGTGAGAACAGCTAAAGCGAGACCTGCTTCCTCGCAGACAGTGGCTAGAGAGAGAGAAGAGAAAGAGAGAGAGAGAGAGGGAGGGAGGGAGAGACAGTAGCAGAGAGAACCCCACGGATGACAGTTTTCATTTCCTTGTTCAAGACTTCACCCATGAGATCCCCGAGCGCTGATCTAATCAGCCGCTGGAAACCACAATTCAAAAAATGTGACTTTGTTGTTCCGTCTCAAAACCAACCAACACAAGATGAGCCCCCACTGCTGCCCCCCCGCCGCCCAGCCCCACGACCACCACACTCATTGGCCGGCCATGTTCACACCACCTCCAGATGTCCTCCGTGATTCCTTCTTTCGGTCTCCAGAAAGCCTTGCCTTATCGAGTGTTTTAGCCGAATGGTGTAGTTGGAGTCTTCCCTGTCTTGGTGTTAATGTTGACATTGTTATATAATAAATAATAATATATTTTTTTCTTTCAATTTTCTTAATGGGACCCAGTCCCTTATTTTGGGGGAGGTCTGAGGCAAGTGTGTTTCAAAATATGTACTTGTGGGGATCCCCCCCCAAATATACCACCCATGAAACCTAAATTTTGCCACCCTGCCCTTGACTAAGAAATGACTACCTCTACCATGTTATGTTCCTGGAAAGGTTCCCTAGGTCCCGGCTTTTGTCTGATTTTTAACTCCGTTGCCCATGATCACGGGGCCCAGCGTGGCCCTCTCCTTCTAACACTGGCCTCCCTCTGGCCTCCTATCTCCCTCGGCCCTCCCGTCTTCCCAGCTCTGTGTCTTTCCAGCCGTCTGTCGCTAAAACGTGGCCTATAGCTTCCCGACCGGAAAGCTTGCTTTGAAAAACTTGAAAAGCCCTGGTTTACATGTGGGCAGAACTGTGATAAAGCAAGGAGCAACCTCTGTGCTGACAAGCATTGCGAAGAGGCCAAAATAAATATTGGTGCTGATAAAACACAAAGCCAGCCTAAGCTTCCAGACTTCCATCACCAGCGACCCGCCCCGGATGCCAGGCAAAGCCCAATGTTCCTACAGAAGAGGCCAGACCGGCTTGCCGATTGGTTTTCCCCAAAGAAGTCACATCGACACCAGATGCCGACACCAAACTGTGGTTATTGAAAGCAGAAAACAGTATAAAAAAAAATAAGTGTGTAAGTAAAACATTATTGCAGGGTTCTTCAGAGGTAATATTTTACTGGTACTATTTATTTATAAATAGGAGTTCTAATTAAGTAATAACATGAAACGAAATCCAGCATGGGAGCTGGCCAAGAGCTTTTAATTTTATTAATACTCAAAACCAAGTTTGCGTTTTCTTTTTCTTTCGAATGTGCTTTGCTTTCTTGATTAAAAAACAAGATTTTTTTTTAAACTGACCCTAATAAAGAGAACAGGGTAATATGTGAGGCTAAGTATGTCCCAGTACGTGTGAGTGTGCAAGTATGTTTGTACGTGAGTGTTTTCATACGATTATGTCTTTTTATGTTGCTAAGGGGTGGGGTGAGAATTAAGTACTCGTTTCGTATATTTGTGTGCCAATTAATGCCTAATAAATACCATGTGCTTAAAAAAGTACAAGGGACTTGAATACCCTTCTTTCCCCTCCTGTTCTTTTTACCGACCGAATAGAGGGGAAGTTAGTTGCAGGACGTGGGAAGAAGTTGTCTTGCGGGTGTAATTTTGACCCCATCTTCTTTCTCCTGCTGGTTTCAGGGAATATTTGGAATCCCGTATGTGAGTGTAATGGAGCTGAATATGTTTCTCTCCTGGCTTATATCCCTGGGATGGAGTTATATTCTTTCATTGGATTTATGACAGCGTTAAAAAAGCAAGATCATCAGGAATCTCAACTGACCAAAAATATTGGTCAGATTTTCTGTAACACCTAGTACTTGATTTCCTGAAGCATCTGTTTCTTTAAATTGGTTGCAGGAATCAAGTGTTTTGGAGGTTCCCATGAAGCAACCTTTGGGACCTTCGATGGCTATTTATTTAAAATTTAAGATTTGTGAGTTTGTCCTGTATGATACACATAAGGCAGGGCACAGCAGCAGATTTGTAAGTAAATTCATGATGCAGTTTCGAAAAGTTTTTGTGATTTCAATGCCCGCACCTTTGAAATGATCAAGAACCATTAGATATGACACATCCCCTTGAAACAGGAACAACTGGATAGTTGATTACAAATTATTCATTGAATCAGGTCCTCCTGGAAGCTTTCCTAGGCAAAGAACTCCCAAGACATGCGAGTTAATGATCAAGAAATGACAATTCAACTTCTTGTAGGTACAGTGGAGAAACTAGGTCAATGGCATCCTTGTTCCCACAGAGAATGAATTAGTAAAATTTCACTGAATAAATGCTGACTGTACCCTAAGTAAGCATTTGTTCTGATGGATTAAGGGGAAAAAAGATTGCGCTTGGAAAAATTACCTTCCAAATATCATTTACCAATGATACAAGGTAGCCAGTCTTATTTTTTCACAAGAACATCAGAAGAATACTGAGTTAGCACCCCTCAGGCACAGCGATCAAACAGTTGTTACCAATGGAAAATCACTAAAAACGTGCTCATGGCAAGTTTCATAGGTCAGAGAAGGGACATTTTTTTTTTTTTTTTTGAGAAGGGACATCTTGTTCCATCACAGATGGAAGTTCACTTCTTTGGGTTTCAAACAATGGTTACAAAGGATCTTTTCACTGAATTGGTAGGTTTAAGGATGTCACATGCAAATATTCATGTAGTTTATTACTGTTTAGGTGTCAAAAGACATGGTGTAAATTGTTATATTCCTGTAGTATATTTAGTGAATGTTTCTTCTGGACTAGACATGTGTAAATGCTGAGGACACAGTAGTGAACAAGGTGATAGAGGTTGTATCCTTCTGGAGTGTATGGTTTAGTGAGAGAAATAGCCTTTAGGTAACCTGTGTCATCAGTGGATTGCAAAGGCAAGAAGACCTATGAAGGCAACATGCATGATGTCATAAAGGGACAAGACAAGGAGTCCTAACTTGATCTGGAGGAGGTGTCTTCTGAATTGAGCCCTGGAAGTTGGGTAGGAATTAGCCAGATGAAAAGTTGGGAGGAAAAGCATTTCAGGCAGAGGGGATAGCTTGTGCAAAGGTCCTGAGGCAGAAATGGTGATGAAGGAACGAGCTGTAGGGTTCATGGATGGGCAGTAATGACCTACTTTGCATTCACTCATTTATTCAAGAAGCATGTGTTAAGGTCCCACCCTGTGTGGTAGACACCCTGACTTGCTGAGCACCTACTAATTGTGTAGGCTCTTTTCCAGTTAGTTCCCATGACTGCTGAGTACAGTCTGGATCTGTGAGCTGATAGGCTTCTTCGTACCTGAGAGAGGAGAGTTACAGCTCCTCCTGGCTTCCTGGTGCAACATTGAGCAACTGGGACTCAAAGTTAGGGGATCACCAGAAGGATGACTGGAACTTTCAGAGACTCAGATCATTAGTATTCTGGAGCTCAGAGAGGTTGGGAGCACCCCCAACATCACACAGCTGGTGTGCCCCAGAGCTCAGCATGGAACCTCAGTTTGCCCAAGATTTAGCTTCCTTGTCCATTCAAAGGAGATAGTGTTCCTGCTTCAAAGGACTGTTGTCCTTTGAAGTTTAAGTGAATAATATCTGTAGAAATGTACCATAAAGGACCTACCACAGTACATGTTCCATGAATGCCTGGAAAGATAGACTTATCAATGAAAAACAAGTTAAGCCTAACTTGTATGCATTAACTTAGCAAATGTATAGTCAAGTAATCATGATGCTTATTGCTAATGAGAAAATTAGCCCCAGAAACTGCTGCCTGGAATGAAAATAGATACACCTTTTAAGAGGAGAATTTGGCAAAAGATACCAGAAGCCTCAAAATTGTTCTCATCGGTTCATTTGGTAATTTCACTTGGAGGAATCGGCCCTAAGGAAATAATCAGGGAAGTGCATCATACTAATTTTCTGGGAAGTTCATCATGATTTTTAAAATCATACAAAACTGGAGACAGCCTTTTTATCCACTAATATGGTGCTAGTTAAATAAATTAGCGTCGATCCATGCAATGGAATACCACGTGGCTTATTAAAAAATACATTTGTGAAGACAATTGGAAAAGGATATTTAAGATACATTGTAGCTAAAAGAAGCTGATTACAAGTCACGTGCATGGCAGCTTCTCAGTCTTACTGAAGGCAACTGTGTTTATTCCAGCTTGCAGGGCAAAAAAACCCCAGTTAGTTTGTGGAATATAATCATAAAAGTGGCAGGACTGTGAGTGTTTACATGTTCTTTGTGTTTTGGGGTATTTCTCAATGTTTTTAAATGAAGATGAGTTATCTTTATAATTAGGAGTAGAATTAGTCAAATAAAAACTAGTGTATTCCTTGGCCATTGTCAAATTGAGTTTGTGAGGAAGGTGGGGTCCCCTGGGTCAACTTTGAGAATGAAGGGGTTCAGATCCAATCAGGAGGGCCATTGGCCCGGGAGAGTGACAGAGCTGGGTACCGGCACCAGTCAGCCGACTGCCAATTGTGGAACATTCTCCATCCGAAACAAGGAGACACCAGCTGCTTCTCTGTTTTCACTTTTGGGATTGCCCCTTGCTGGCGTGCTCCTCTTGGTGGGTTAAGCTGTCGTCCTGGGGTGGACTCTGATTCTCCTGTTAACAAATCCAGCATACACAGGTACGTGCACATGCACACGGACTCACAAATACACAAATACAGTCACACACAGACAGTCAACACACAGACACACACACAATGTACACATATATAAGCACACAGAGACACACCCACGTGCAAACACACACACAACAAATGCACATACACACATACTTGCTGGCTCAGGTGGTTTTAAGAATCTCCCCTTTGTTCTCTACCTGACCCAGCTTATAAAATTCACTTTGTCACTTACAGCTTCAGTGACCTTGGGCAAGTCACTTACCCTCTTGGACCCTCCATGAAATCATCTATTGAAAGAGGATAATAAGAGTACCTGCCCCTCCCCGCCCCGGGGCAGGGGGATGTTCTAGTGGGCACAGAGTGAGAGAGTGACTGTAAATTTCTGAACACAGTGCCCG